AGATCTGTGATATGAGATTCACTTCGAGTGATTAAAGCGTCAAGCTCACATTCGGCAGTCACCGTTCAACTCCCATTGAGGATCTTGACAAAACCCATGCGAGGCCGAAATTTCAGTCGGGCCTTATGGAGAGCAAGCAATTTCGATGTAAGCGTAAACTCTAATAATGTCGGTGGGAAAATTCTACTATCAGCCCTTCATTACCTTAAACAAAACAATGAATACATCTCATACAATCCCGCTAAGCTTTCCGATCCGTCGAAATCAGAAATTACCTTCAATCGCCATTCCAAATAAAATGAAAGGGACTCCAACATCAATCTGCTAAATGATTTATCGAAAGACAGAGATCACTGAACGACAAATTTATGCGTAGCCACAACGAGAGTAGTATGGGGAGGGAAATTGACATCCGTGATAAACAAAGGAGACCGCCCAATACTGTCATGTGCTCGTGGGGGCCATTCGATAAAATGCGCTACATCGCAGATCGGCTTGGTAAAAGATTGATTATATTCAAAATTTATTAGCGTGCTTATAACTTCAAGGTCAATGGATGCTTAAAAAATAACGAATGTGCACGAAGAAACATCCTGATAGGTAGGTAAACACCGCCACTCGGAAGGGGAAGGAGCTAGTCAAGATCTAAAATAAAAAAATAGTGAGGCTTGGTATGAAACAGTTCCAACGCAGAATAGACAACAACTTACCATCGCACCTTGGAACTCCACTAGTAGGGCCGGGGGCCCTGGATTCCGGCTTAACGCCCATTCCCGGCATTCCTGCACGAGGAAAATCACAATAAGCAATATGCAAAGGAAATCAGAGTAAGGAGCTAAGAGTAAACCCACCAGGAAATCCCCCCATTCCGCCGCCAAAATTCTTTAGCTTGGTTACGCTTTTCATGATTTTGGGGTTCGACGCATACTTTGAGATTGAGGAAGGGTTTTTCATTAAGTCAACAAAGGCAGCCATCACCTCAGGATCCTGAAAAATTAAGGATGGTATGAGACGCCTGAAAACGACACCTATAGTAAAATAGCAAAGAGGAGAACCTGGAGGGAGGCAGTGAGCTCCGGGTCGCTGAAAATATCTTCGGCATTATCGGGGCATGATGGGCCTGAATCATTATCCTACAACAAAAAGCATACATATGTATAAGGCAGATCGAGGGCCGATTGATATTAGAGTTGAATTGGTTTACCTTGTAAGCTTGTTCAGCAGCTTCTCGGGCCTTTCTTGCACGTTCACGACGCTGTTTGTCAAGTTTATCTTCCCGCTTTCTTTCATACTTTCTCTTGTGTTCTATAATGAGTTTGTGCTAAAATATTCAAGATATTAGTAAGGAATAGTGGATATGTGTAAAACAATAATCAACTAATGACAACCTTCGGTTCTAGCAACTTTATGGCCTCATACGCATCCTCTGAATAGTCAAGCTTGAGGGAAAGCTGAAGATCGTTGTATGCATCCTCCCAAGAGCCAAGCATCCTAAAGTATATACAAGGGACTCGATTACTTGTGAGCAAATCCTCGGACTTTATAGGCTGCAGCGGAGTCGGCATTAAGTTCGACAGCTTTTTCACAATCCTTAAGAGCTGCTCGGGGCTTTTTAAGTTTTAAGTAGCATCTAAGTATTCAAATTAAGAATAAACATACTGGCCTCGACGAGTGTGAAGCAACGCTGACAATGGGTTCTTAAGAATAGCTTCAGTGAAGATATCAATTGCACCCTGTATGTCACCCTCTGACAATTTCATTTGGCCTTCCATTCGTTTTGAATCTGATTCATCTTCCATTTCTTCAGTGACCTCAAGGAGGGGATCACCCATCGGCTGCTCAACTTCATCCTCATCCGGCAGTTCCTCAGGTCCGCTCATTTCTACTCATTGTAAGACAAATTTCGAGAACAAACCGAGATCAGATTCTTCGGATTCTGATTCCAACTCAGTTGGCATGTCAAAATTCGCCTGTTTGTCGCCGGTACCATTGGCCGGGCGGCTAAGACTGGCACCGAGGCTATTATGATGAGAATAGCGCAAATGAAGACACTACCTAATGAGCCATTCTTTGAAAAAGCTTAACTCGGGCAAGTGTATCGTATCAGGTTTGGACTTTAAGAGAGTGACGAAAGCCTTGAGCTGTTCAACCTTGTCGCGCTCCATGAGAAAGGAAAGAATGGACTAGAACGCGCCAAAACGGTACGATTTTCACCAATTTAAACAAACAATAATATAATGTTAACATCACGTTACCTTTTAAAAAATAATTAATATTATATAATAAAAAAGAGCATAAATAATTGCTAAGGCGCGAATATCTTAATTACTATTAATGCGCTTATTTCAGGCGTTTCGAAGCCACTTTACCTCCATTCAGTCATCTCCCTCATCTCCTTATTAGTTGCTTCGCTTAGTTTCAATGTATTTATCCAAGACATGGTATGCTGCCTTTATTATCTTAAGTCTTGCTCTTTGTGGTCTTTTAAATTATTCAGAGGATTCTGCAATACTTTTTACGCCCATTTGCCTTCCCTTAAGCCGAGGGTACATTTTAAAATTCCAAACTAGCCACGTTGGTCGTATGCTCTTAGTTAGACGTGACGAATCATCAGCTTAGTGATACTACTTTACTACTAACTTAGCAAATAATTGATTCCTTACGCCGTATATTTAATCCGAACTGGGACGAGTAAGATTCAACTTAAATAATGTTGGACGGCGTTCCCTCCAGACTCGCTTAATATCCATAGTTAACATTCCCACAAAGATGTAAAAACAATTTATTTGAGAGTGTAATGTCACTCGAAATTCACATTTTAATTAAGGTTGTGAGACTTGATTGTAATGCTGTTTCTATCAAAACTGAACATGATGTCATGTTATACGCGCACTTATGAACATTGCAAGATTTACAGCGGATTGCTAACCAACTTGCCACCTCTCCCTCAAGCTAATTTTTGTTTAGATTATGATCTTGACTCCGACTTGATGCTGTATTTGCTAACT